TATGAATTTTATTTTTGGTTTAGATTAGGTACAAGAATTCTGAGAAGGCTAACATGGAAACCCAGGCCAGCACTCTTGGCCTGCACACATATCTACCTTTCTTTTCTTTTTCTTTTTCTTTTTTTTTTTTTTTTTTTGAGACAGAGTCTCATTCTGTTGCCCTGGCTAGAGTGCAGTGGCACCATCTCGGCTCACCACCACCTCCGCCTGCTGGGTTCAAGCAATTCTCCTACCTCAGGCTCCTAAGTAGCTGGGATTACAGGCACCCACCACCACACCTGGCTAATTTTTGTATTTTTAATAGAGATGAGGTTTCACCATGTTGGCCAGGCTGGTCTTGAACTCCTGACCTCATGTGATCCACCCACCTCAGTCTCCTAAAGTGCTGGGATTACAGGTGTGAGCCACCACGCCCAGCCACATCTACCTTTCAAGCCCATCCCCTGGACCAGTCTAGAAATTCCAGAGCTATGTCAGGGACTAGAGATGTAGAGTAAAGGCCCAACTCAGGAGAGGGCCTTGGGTTCCCACCTTCCAGTCTCCAGGGCAGCTCTGCCTTTACATGTTTGACATCACCTGCAGGCTATGAGGGACCCAGGCAAAGTATTCCATTGGCATGAGACCTTCCTGTTGGGGGAAGCAGCAAAGGAGAAAGGACTTACAGAGTGCCTACATAAACTGGTTATGAGCAACATATAAACCAGGAACAACAAACTGCGGAAGGCCGCAGGAGGCCTCTGAGGAGGAAAGCCTCTCCATGCCTCATGTTCCGGTGCAGGGTGACCTCGGCTCTGTTACCGTAAACATTGCGCTCAAGGACCTAAAACCCCTTCGTAGCGCTATGATGTAGCCAGACTTGCAGGCTCCTTGTAAGGCCCCGTCCCACCAGCAGCACCTAGATAATAGGCCAAAGATAGCCGCATGTTCTTGTTTTGTGAAACTCCTGAAACCACCACTGTGCCCGGTCTTTAGAACGACACACTAGTTCCAGCTCACAGCCCCTTCCTCTCCACCAGGCTCTGAAACCTTCTGCTTTGAAAATCTCATCACGCACACAATTCTACTTCCATTTCCACTACGGCTGTTGTATCAAGAGGGTGAAGAAAGAAAAAGGACAAAAGTGAGTCTTTTGTCCAAAGATCTGAAATAGCTTAACAGGGCCAGGGAGCAGGGAGGCTAGAACGGCCCTCCATTTGACAATCTCCAAGGCTGTCTGTGAGAGACTATGGGTACAGCAAGCCCAGGACATGGGGTCCCTGCTGAACTTTCTGGTTGTGAGACAAGACTCCCTTCAGGGATAAAGGGCCGGGAATGACCAATCACAGTTGCGGATTGTCCTGATACTAGCTAGAGAAAAGACTAAACATTGTAGCTTTTTTGTTTTTAAGATGGAGTCTTTGCTCTGTCACCTGCGTTGGAGTGCGGTGGCACCATCTCAGGTCACTGCAACCTCCACCTCCCGGTTCAAGCAATCCTCCTAACTCAGCCTCCCGAGTAGCTGGGACTGCAGGTACACGCCACCACGCCCGGCTAATGTTTTTTGTATTTTTATTGGGGATGGGATTTCCCCATGTTGGTCAAGCTGCTCTTGACCTCAAGTGATCCGCCCACCTCAGCCTCCCAAAGTTCTGGGATTGCAGGAGTTAGCCCACTGTGCCTGGCCACTAATATATCATTTTTTTATCCTAATGTTTTGTTCTTGTATTCATTTGTTCCTATTAGGTATTTCTCATGGCTTTAACAATGGAATCCCGGAGTCATGGTTAAACAACAGGTGAGGGGCAGGTAACTGACCAAACCTCTCCTGAGTCTCCACTTTCTCACCTGTAGTGTGAGGATATTTAACTACCTCCTAGAGGTGTCAGGATTAAATGAGATGGCACATAAAGAGCTTAGCACAGTGCCTGGCGCATGGTAACTGCTCTGTCCATTTTGTCACTATAAGTCCTTCTGGTTTATAGTAAATAATGCAACCCAAGGGAAGCAAAATTCCATGAAAACACAAAAGTCATTTCATCATGACCTGCCTCAAAATGTAAAATCTCTAATGAAAGTAAAGGTATAGTTAGTGGCAGAAGTTTGTCTAGAACCAGACCTGCGGAGTTCTCAATACTCTGTCTACTATGCCACAAACTTCAGGGCCAGGTTAAGAGGGAGACAAGGTACTGCCTGGAAGGAGAATACAAAGAGGGACTTTTGGGTCCTGGTAGGTTTTTGTTTTGTTTTTTGAGATGGAGCCTCGCTCTGTCACCCAGGCTGGAGGGCAGTGGCGTCATCTTGGCTCACTGTAACCTCCACCTCCCGGTTAAAGCGATTTTCCTGCCTCAGCCTCCTGAGTAGCTGGAACAACAGGGTGTGCGCCACCACACCTGGCTAATGTTTGTATTTTTAGTAGAGGTGGGGTTTCACCTCGTTGTCCAGGCTGGTCTTGAACTTCTGACATCAAGTGATCCATCCACCTCGGCCTCCCAGAGTTAGGATTATAGGCATGAGCGCCTGGCCATGGTAAGTTGTTTCTTGATCTGGGTGCTGGTTATACAGGTGTGTGCAGTTTGTAAAAAATCAATGAACTGTACACTGTGTGCCCTCGTCTGCTACATATTAATATTTATTTATTTATAGATGGAGTTTCACTCTTGTTGCCCAGGCTGGAGTACAGTGGCACAATAGCAGCTCACTGCAACCTCTGCCTTCTGGTTTCAAGCGATTCTCCTGCCTCAGCTTCCTGAATAGCTGGGACTACAGGAGCCCGCCACCATGCCCATTTAATTTTTGTATTTTTAGTAGAGACAGGGTTTCACCATGTTGGCCTGGCTCGTCTCGAATTCCCGACATCAAATGATCCACCCACCTTGGCCTCCCAAAGTGTTGGGATTGTAGGCGTGAGCCACTGCACCCAGTTCTTTTTTACCATTTTTAATAGACTTTTTTTTTTTTTTAAACAGAGTCTGGCTCTGTCACTAAGGTTGGAGTGCAGTGGTGCGATCTTGGCTCACTGCAGCCTCCGCTTCCTGGGTTCAAGCCATTCTCCTGCCTCAGCCTTCCAAATAGCTGGGATTACAGGCATGCGCCACCACACCCAGCCTTACTGCAGATTTTCAAGGCTGGTCTCTGTAACTCCATACTGAAGCGATCCTCCTGCCTCATCCTTCTGAGTAACTAAGATTATAGGTGCACACCATGGCACCAGGCTTTACTATCGATTTTTAATGGTCCAAGGCCATTCCCATGATTTTAGAAACAGACCAATGACAAAAGCTAGATCTCTAAAGACATGTACACTTAAGGAGAAATAGCCTTTATTACAGAGACACAGGCGTAATTGAGTTGCAAGCAAAGATGTAGCAGAGGTGTATCTTCCAAAACGATTGGGCTTCTTGAAATGTTTTAGGTGCAAAGACGCGCCCTTCCACCCGACACACAGCTACACAAAGGCTACTGTGTCCTGCCCCCTTTGCCTCTGGGGACCCATAAAGAGGAGGCAGGACCTGAAGTGATGGGCTTGCAACCTTTATTATTTATTTATTTTTCAATTTGCAAAGCAAAAACCTCAGACAGCTCTCAACCCTCAAGAACTGTAATTTGTCATTTTCTCAACAATGTCTTGATTCCAGCTTAATTTAGCAATTGCAATTCCAGCTAATCTGGTTTCCTTTTTTCCTAGGTTTTTGTGTTTCTACTAGGTAAGGAGGAGTTAAAAAAAAATTCAAAAAGCTTAATATAAACTCTTCTCTCAAGTTGAGACTTAAAAAAAGATCCAGTATTTTCTACAACCCAAGTTCCCTTTACTAATCAAACTCTAGAACTTCATGTCAGGTGGGAAGCCATCCATCTGTTTCCCTTACTGCTCAGGCAGCTCTTGTATCTTCCCAGACAGAGGGGAAACTCTATTTTTTTTTAGACAGAGTCTCACTCTCGCCCAGGCTGGAGTGCAGTGGTGCCATCTCAGCTCACCGGAACCTCCGCTTCCCGGGTTCAAGCGATTCTCCTGCCTTAGCCTCCTGTGTAGCTAGGACTACAGGCACCTGCCACCACACCAAGCTAATTTGTTTTTTGTATTTGCTTTTTTTTTTTTTTAGTAGAGACAGGGTTTCACTGTGTTAGCTAGGATGGTCTCAATCTCCTGGCCTTGTAATCCACCCCCCTCGGCCTCCCAAAATGCCGGGATTGCAGGCATGAGCCACTGCACCAGGCCGGGAATCTTTCTTCTATTGGACAAATGAAGGGACTACTTCTTCACAACCTCTCCTAGAACCTGTTGGCTGAGTAAGTGAAGGAATGGCACTAATGATGGGGATTACATAGCCTACTTGATTTTTTTTTTCTCTTGGTTTAACAAACATCACTGCCTAGAATTTCCTCCTCATGTCTAAGTTGATTTTGGACAGAGGTGACTCCCAATGGCCTCCTCAGGATGCCATCTGGATCCTTAGCCAAAGCCACGGCTCCAAGTCTTGGATGACAGATTCCATGTAGAGTTTGCAAAAGGCAGCGGGAAGGTGCGTACCCTGGTCAGGCACACACAGGTCTAGGTTCACCCAAAGGTGAACTTTTCGAAGCAATGGACTTTTGCTCCCTATAGGCCTTGGACCACTCTCAGGCTGGGGTAGGAGGCACCTGGGGAGGGGAAGTGAGGTGTGAGTTTGCTAACAGTTCAGGTTTTTTTTTTTTTTTTTTAGATAGAGTCTCGCTCTGTTGCCAGGCGCCAGGCTGGAGTTCGCGATCTCGGCTCACTGCAACCTCCCCCTCCCAGGTTCAAGTAATTCTCCTGCCTCAGACTCCCAAGTAGCTGGGTCTACAGGCGCACGCCAACACGCCCAGCTAATTTTTGTATTTTTAGTAGAGACGGGGTTTCATCATGTTAGCCAAGATGGTCTTGAACTCCTGACCTCGAGATCCACCCACCTCGGCCTCCCAAAGTGCCGGGATTACAGGCGTGAGCCACCGCGCCCGGCCCAGTAAGTTCACGTTTTAAACACACAGTAAAAGACAGACTCGGGAAAATAATGGAACTTTATTAGGGAATACTGAGCATCCATCCTATAAGAACCAAGCCCATTCTGAGCACAGGCCCCATGTGTAGGAGGAGGCAGTTTCCCATTTCCTGGAAACGCCTTATCTCCTTTTCCTTCACAGCAAAGCCTTTCACCAGCTGTCACTCCCGTCTTCACTCTCTCCAGGCGCAAGGATCTAGAGAACAAAGCCCTGATAGCGTCCCGAGATCAAGGGCGACACCTGTAGGACAACCTCACGATTCACACCCAAATATCTCCAGGGAACAGATATGTCCTCAAAGTTAGCACTTCTTTAAAAATAGTGTTCTTCATATACAAAAGCTACCCGACAGGACTCTAGGTCTGCATATATCAAGTTAAAAATAGAAGAAGAGGGAAATAAGTGCACAGAATAATTCAGAAATGGTTATGGGGCTATGTATCTGTGGGGTCAAAGGCACGAGCCCACCCTGCTGTGTGCAGGACCGTTTTACTCTTGATGAGCCAGAAGTTACCATCCACCATGGGTTGGCAGCGGGGGCTCTCAGACTTCACTACACACTCCAGAACGAGACCCCACGAGAACAAATGTGTTACCCTGGTAGCTGACTCATCACAGGACACTAGACAGAGGAAAAGCAAGCACTGGAGTGTCCTCAGTTTACCCCTTTCCTGCACCCTGACTCTAGTCACTGGAAAGGATACTGGGGCACTGGCTCCAGGCCGTACTTCCTCATGTTTCTGTGCTCCTGACACTTTCTGGAAATAGAAAGGGGCTTTATCTTCATGTGGGTGACTCAGAACTGGAGAAGCCCCTCCATCTTGACCTGAAATCAAAGCCCAGATTCTAGCATGGGCAGGGAGCCTGGGAACACTAACAGCTTGTGGGGAAGTCACCTGAGCCCAGCACAGTGGCAGCAAAACAAGAACCACACCAATGGATTTCCAGTACTTTTCTGAGTACTTGGCCCACATTGTGGGCCATGCTGTCTTCCATCCACATGGAGAAACATTCCCCCCACCACCACTTTACCGAAGAGGAAACTGAGGCACAGAGGAATCACAAGAAAGGGGGCCAATCAAGTCACGCAGTGTGAGGGAAAAGACCCAACCTTCCAGACCTTCCACTCCTACGCCCTGTTCTTGAACATGTACGGGGCTTGACTCAGACCACTAAAATGACAGTGTCCTGGGAATGAGGATGAGCAAGGGGAAGATTCCGGCAAAAACCCCCAGAGCGTTTAGGAAGCACAGCTCTTTCAATCACTGCTGGGCAGTGTGGCAGCTTCTGCTCCAGAGCTAGCCCCTCACTTTCGCTCTTGGCCACGTCAATAAAGTTTCTCTTTCATGTGAGTTCTCTGATGTGTGATAAAGTTAGAGCTGTTGCTGAAGCCTTTGCCACACTCGGGGCATTTGTAGGGCCTCTCCCCCGTGTGGATTCGCTGATGTATGATGAGGACTGAGTTCCAGCTAAAGCCCTTCCCACACTCGGGGCACCTGTAGGGCTTGTCTCCCAAATGCGCTCTCTGGTGCATGACCAGGATGGAGCCCCGGCTGAAGCTCTTGCCGCACATGAGGCATTTGTAGGGCTTCTCGCCCGTGTGGGTCCGCTGGTGCACCACGAGCTGGGAGCGCTGGCTGAAGCACTTCCCACACTCGCTGCATTTGTAGGGCTTCTCGCCCGTGTGGATCCTCTGGTGCTTGAGGAGGTTGGAGCTCCAGCTGAAGCTCTCCCCACACGTCAGGCACTCGTAGGGTTTCTCCCCTGTGTGCATGCCCTGGTGTGCGATCAGACTGGAGCTCTGGCTGAAGCTCTTCCCGCACACCCCACACTTATAGGGCTTCTCCACCATGTGGGTTCTGCGGTGCGTGGCCAGGTTGGAGCTGCGGCTGAAGCTCTTCCCGCACTCGCTGCACTGGTAGGGTTTCTCTCCCGTGTGGGTTCTCCGGTGGGTGATGAGGGCTGAACTCTGGCTGAACCTCTGCCCGCAGTCGGTACACTTGTAGGGCTTCTCTCCTGTGTGGATCCTCTGGTGCCTGATCAGGTTGGAGTTGTAACTAAAGCTTTCGCCGCATTCTTTACATTCGTAGGGCTTTTCTCCGGTGTGGATCCCCTGATGCGTGTTAAGGCTGGACCGGTTGCCGAAGCTCTTTCCACACTCGGGGCACGAGTAGGGTTTCTCTCCCGTGTGGGTGCGCTGATGTGCAATGAGGTTGGGGCTCCGGCTGAAGCTCTTGCCACACTCGGCACACTGGAAGGGCTTCTCCCCCGTGTGGATCCTCTGGTGAGTTATGAGGTTGGCGCTCCGGCTGAAACTCTTCCCGCAGTCCCTGCATTTGTAGGGCTTCTCCCCGGTGTGAGTGGTTTGGTGTCTACTAAAGTTCGAACCGTCACTAAAGCTTTTTCCACATTCGTCACATTTGTAGTATTTCTCTCCCGTGTGGGTCCGCTCATGTGTGATGAGGTGGGACTTCCGGCTGAAGGTCTTCCCACACTGGGGACATTCATAGGGCTTCTCCCCCAGGTAGGTGCCCTGCAGGCCTATGAGCTGGCCAACTTCCTTGTCCTGGGAGAGCACTTCCCTGAGGTCCTTGCCTGGGGCGTGTCCCTGGGGCCTCTGGGCGCCAGCATCTCTCTCAAAGTCACTTTCCCCATCGGAGTGCTGAGCGCTTTCCTCTTCAGGCATTTCCGAGAATATCTCATGTGATTCTTCCTCAAACATGTCTTGATTACAGTTTTCCCCATTTTCACTCTGTATCTCAAAATCTGAAACAATGAAGAAAAACATACAATGTCTACTCAACTCCCTGTCATGATGACAAAAGAAAACTAAGGGGGAAATGTATAAAAATCAAACTTCAGTCAACACGAAGAGGCTAGGAAATCCTCAAAGCCTTTAATACCCAGGTTTATTATACCCAAAGGAATATAAATCATTCTATTATACAGATACATGCATGCATATGTTCACTGCAGCACTATTCACAAGAGCAAAGACATAGAATCTATGCAAACGCCCATCAATGACAGACTGGATGAAGAAAATGTAGTACGTATACAGCATGGAATATTATGCAGCCGTAAAAAGGAACAAGATCATGTCCTTTGCAGGGACATGAATGGAGTTGGAAGCCATTATCCCCAGTAAACCAACACAGGAGCAGGAAACCAAACACTGCATGTTCTCTCTTGTAAGTAGGAGGTGAACAATGAGAACATATAGACACAGGGGGAACAACACACGCTGGGGCCTGTGGGGGAGATAGAGGAAGAGCATCAGGAAGAATAGCTAATGGATGGTGGGCTTAACACCTAGCTGGTGGGATGATATGGGCAGCAAACCACCATGGCACACATTTACCTTCGTGGCAAACTTGCACATCCTGCACATGCACCCCTGAACTTAAAAGTTGGAGGAAAAGAAAAAAACAGGCTTATTTCATTCTAACTGGTTATTTAATTGTCAGGTCTCATAATCTTTGTGGCAATCACCCAGAATTTCAAAGCCTTAAAGATTTGGGTTCCATGTTCCCACTACCTGTGTTTTTACCAGGAAATGAGGTCAGGTAGGAATTATAAAGGACATCACCAGAGTACCTACCCAACACTCACTATAGTGCCTCGTGCTTGATTCAACGTAATAACTGAATGAATGAGTGCTGGGATTATAGATGTGAGCCATCGTGCCCAGACTTTTCTTTTTGTTTTTTGAGACAGTCTCACTCAGCCACCCAGCCTGGACAGCAGTGGCAAGATCTCAGCTCACTGCAACCTCTACCTCCTGGATCCAAGTGATTCTCCTGCCTCAGCCTCCTGAGTAGCTGGGACTACAGGCACGCACCACCATGCCCAGCTAATTTTTGTATTTTTAGTAGAGATGGGGTTTCACTATGTTGGCCTGGCTGGTCTCGAACTCCTGACCTCAGGTGATCCACCCGCCTGGGCCTCCAAAGTGTTGGGATTACAGGCATGAGCCACCGTGCCCGGCCTCTTAGTGATATTTCTATTATTAAAGCTAATAAACTTTAAGTTAGATGCTCAGCCGGGCGCGGTGGCTCACGCCTATAATCTCAGCACTTTGGGAGGCCAAGGTGGGCGGCTCATGAGGTCAAGAGATCAAGACCATCCTGGCCAACATGGTGAAACCCGTCTTTATTATTATAAAAATTAGCCAAGTGTGGTTGTAGGCGCCTATAATCCCACCTACTCAGGAGGCTGAGGCAGAAGAATCACTTGAACTCTGGAGGTGGAGGTTGCAGCGAGCTGGGATCACGCCATTGAATTCCAGCTTGGTGACAGAATGAGACTCTGTCTCAAAAAATAAAATAATAAAGTTAAATGCCCAATTAATTAAGTTTCTGTAAGTTAATGTAAACTTCCACAAACGAGCATGATAAAATTGGACATGCTCCTCTCAAGCAGGACCTGGGCTCCACTCTTGCTTTCAGTTAATTTAAGATCACTTTTTTTTTTTTTGAGACAAGGTCTCAGTCTGTCTCTGAGGTGGGAGTGCAGTGGTGTGACCACAGTTCCCAGCAGCCTTGACTTTCTGGGCTCATCTGACTCTCCCACCTTTGCCTCGAAGGTAGCTGGGATTACACAGCTGTATATACCATGCCCAGCTAATTTTTAGGTATTTTTGTAGAGATGGGGTTTTGCCATGTTGCCCAGGCTAGTCTCAAACTCCTGGGCTGAAGTGATCCTCCCACCTCAGCCTCCCAAAGTGCTGGGATGACAGCCATGAGCCACCATACCTGGCCATAAGATCACATTTAAAGTTGAAAACAGGGATATAATTACACTCCATGCTTCCACATGCTGCTGGTAATCTGTGGGTTCACTGAATTTTCCTCCAGCCCCACCCCTCATCCCTAAGGGACAGATATGAGGGGCACAAGGCATACTCTGACTCAGCAGGGCCAGGAATTCTGTGCTTCCTCAACTTCCTGCAAGATAGTTTTTTTTTTTTTTTTTTTTTCCTGAGACAGAGTCTCACTGTGTCACTCAGGTTGGAGTGCGGTGGTGCACTGTGTCACTCAGGTTGGAGTGCAGTGGTGCAATCTTAGCTCAGTGCAACCTCTGTCTCCTGGGTTCAAGCAATTCTCTTAACTTGGCCTCCTGAGTAGCTGGAATTACAGGGGCCCACCATGACTCCTGGCTAATTTTTGTATTTTTAGTAGAGATGATATTTTACCATGTTGGCCAGGCTGGTCTCGAACTCCTGACAGCAAGCAATCCTCCTGCCTCAGCCTCCCACAGTGCTGGATTACTGGAGTGAGCTACTGTGCCTGGCCCTGGAAGACAGTTTTTCGGCAAGTTTTGAGTACAGAGCCCTGCTATCATCTCTTCTAGAAGGACCTGCAGGCCAAGGCCCTGATTTGTTTTCAGCAAACTAACATGCCCAAAAACATTTTTGGGGGATGATTTTAGTAATTTTCTCTTCTGAATAGGTAACATTAGCTACTAAGGGGTTTTGCTATTTTAAAATCAGAACTGGTTAGCTCTCGAAGGAACTCGGAAGCAACAAGGAAAACAAGTAAAAATCCAATTTTATTTTCAGTGAGATCAGAAGATAAAATTTGCAGACACCAAAATACATGTCAGGGTGTCCCAAAACAGCAGACTGGGTAGAAGCAATGAGGAAGGAAGCACAATGAATAAGCATGGAAAGCCCTGGGGTGGGAGGGAGCGGATCTCAGAAAGCTCAGGCAGAAAATCCCTTCCTGTGTTTGGGAACTGGGGTAAGCAGGGCTGGCTTCTTTGTTTCAGAGAGGCAAAGAGGTGAGGCTGCAACTGGAAGCACACAGGGCAGCCATGTATACAGGAAGCTGTTTCTGGAAAGCAGAGAAGAAAAGAGACTTTGACCCATGTACATTAACCCAATATTTTTTTGTTTTGTTTTGTTTTTTAGATGGAGTCTTGCTCTGCAGCCCAGGCTAGAGTGCAGTGGCACAATCTCAGCTCACTGCAACATCTGCCTCCTGGGTTCAAGTGATTCTCCTGCCTCAGCTTCCTGAGTAGCTGGAATTATAGGTGTACACCATCAGGCCTGTCTTATTTTTTTTTTATTTTTAATAGAGATGGGGTTTCCCCATGTTGGCCAGGCTGGTCTCAAACTCCTGACCTCAAGGGATCCACCAACCCTGGCCTCCGAAAGTGTTGGGATTACAGAATTGAACCATTGTGCCTGGCCAGAGGAATTATTATTACTGAGAAAAGTGATCATTTCCACCCACAAAAATAATTAAATGAAGCAACTGCCTTTGTAAAGGAATACCACAGAGTAGACCTTGAGGAACGGAGGGCGGGACGACACGAAGGGATGAAATGTACACTGGCAGAACTCAGGAAAGGAGGGAAAATCACCCAGAGACATGAAGACGACAGAAGCAGCAGCACAATGGGAACAGGCATCTTAGAAAGCACAGAATGGGAAAAAGAGGACCAAAATAAGACAGCAATGGCAGGAAACAGGAACAATGGAATAGGTTAAAAGGATTAAAAAGAATGATAGAGGGCCGGCGTGTTGGCTCAGGTCTGTAATCTCAGCGCTTTGGGAGGCCAAGACAGGCAGATCACTTGAGCCCAGGGGTTTGAGACAGCTTGGGAAATGACAAAACCTCATCTCTACAAAAAAATACAAAAATTAGCCAGGTGTGGCTGCACATACTTGTGGACCCAGCTACTTGGAAGGCCAAGGCAGGAGGACCGCTTGAGCCCAGGAGGCAAAGGGTGCAGTGAGCCGTGTTTGCACCACTGCGCTGCAGCCTGGGTGACAGAGTGAGATCCTGTCTTAAAAACAAATAGGCCAGGCACAGTCATTCGTGCCTGTAATCCCAGCACTTTAGGAGGCCGAGGAGGGCAGATCATGAGGTCAGGAGTTCAAGACCAGCCTGGCCAACATGGTGAAACCTCGTCTCTACTAAAAAATAAAAAAAACGAGCTGGGTGTGGTGGCACGTGCCTGAAATCCCAGCTACTGGGGAGGCTGAACTCAGGAGGTGGAGATTGCAGTGAGCTGAGATCACGCCATTGCACTCCAGCCTGGGTGACAGAGTTCTCAAAGAAGAAAACTAAAACAAAGCAATAGAACTAATACTTAAAGATATACTCGATAAGGATATAAGAACCCGTGAAAGGTATACCATGGGCCCACAAAAACTAACCCAGGGTGGCTAACAGTGAGACCAGTGGACAACAGCAAAAGGATAAAATCACTTACAAGGGGGGAAGAAAATCAACTGGTTTCAAGATTTCTCTCTATTCATGCTGGGCATGGTGGTGGGCACCTGTAATTCTAGCTACCCAGGAGGCTGAGGCAGGGGAATCGCTTGAACCCAGGAGACAGAGATCATGGTGAGCTGAGATTGCGCCACTGCTCTCCAACCTGGGCAACAGCGAGACTCCGTCTCGGCTGGAGGTGGGGTGGAAAAATAGATAAGATTACTGACTAAAATTGGGAGGGAGCAGGACTATCTCTGTCAGATGTTAAAACATTATGGAATCTTGGCCGGACACCATGGCTCACTCCTATAATCCCAGCACTTTGGGAGCCTGAGGCAGGTGGATACCTGAGGTCAGGAGTTCAAGACCAGCCTGGCCAACATGGTGAAACTCCACTTCTACTAAAAATACAAAAATTAGCCAGGCGTGGTGGTGAGCACCTGTAATCCCACCTACTAGGGAGGCTGAGGCAGGAGAATCATTTGAACCTGGGAGACAGAGGTTGCAGTGGGCCAAAATCGTGCCACTGCACTCCAGCCTGGGCAACAGAGCAAGACTCTGTCTCAAAAACAAAAATAAAACCATTGTGAAATCTTAATAATTAAAACATTAATAGACAATCAGACCAAAGAAACAAAATAAAAACTCCAGAAATGGATTCAATAGACATGTGAATTCAGAGCACAAGTGGCACATGGATAGACAGGCCAGGAGAACAGAAAAGAGAATCTGTGTAATAAGAATGAAAATTTAG